CAGTCACATGACAGAGGTCATCTGAAATCCGTCGTCAATCGATTAAATTACGTTCGGTCTAATTATACACAGAAATATATACTTTTCAAGAAGAAATAGTCCTTCATTTTCGGTCAGTAGATACCTAAGATGTTTGTGTTTGCAAGGATAACTTTTATTCGTTTTAAATTTCATTGAAATCGTTCGATAACATCAAAAATAGCGTGCGCCTCGGGATCCCGGGGCGGCGAACTGTGCGGTTCTCAATGGACGCGATCTGCAGCTCTATGGCCGCAACATAATATCAAAATAGCTTAAGCGGCCAATAAGAGCTGCTAAACTGCAGCAAGTATTAGTCCTATCATAACCTGAATCCTGATTTGAAAAGTAAAAAATAAAATTTGTAAACAATTATATAATTATTCAAAATTTAGAGAAATAGCGATCGTGCAGTTTAATTAATCACATTATACATTTTCTATTAGCTTCGTTTATACAACAAACGAGATCTTGATTACGATCCATTGTAGGACTTTCCCCGGGAATCCTTTGTTGACACTGCAAGTCAAAGCGTTACTCGGGATACCCCCGACTAAGGCGGGTCACTGCTCTTAATATCCAGGTAGCTAAAACAAGTTGTCGGTGATCATGCCGGTATGATATATGCAACAGATGTATATGAAGCACCACAACGGAACCACGGATGCTACCTACCCAACTAATTGCTGTGCAACACTGTACAGACTATTTCATGCAAAGTATCAAGCTAAAATTATCCTACCCTGGGCCCATCGGGAGAAGACTTCTTCTTTGAGCGTACTACCCCAGGTTATCTCCAGCATGTCCTTTAAAAGATTCAGGGAATCATCCTGCTCCGCTTCTCCGCTGGTGGACGCCATTCCGTCTCACTAGATGGGGAAATTTGTAAAATTGTAGAGAAGCAGGGCGCAGTCTTACAAATTCGCCGCCATTTTGAATTTCTTGCGTGTCTCACCCACGCGATTCACGAGAATACGTTTTCTTGTGCTCAATTCGTGTTCTTTTGAGGTCTGCAGTAGAAGAAACTGGTCCAAACGCTACTTTGATGCACAGATATATCAGTATTGAAATCTAATTATTAATCTGCAAGGTTTGTACGGAAGAGTCCTTATCGCTTTGGGAAATCCCATCTATGTCACGTGATATGACCTCATTGATAGCCCTGCCTCGATTTCAAATAAAAACATGGCAGCGTACAGAACCACTCGGGAAAACATGTGAGGATATAGTTCACTTGGGGAAACCACTTTTGTTTTGTTATTCAAAATTTTAGAAACAAGTATCGTCATGTCGTTTACAAATGGATCGCTAGTATAATGCTGAAGACAACAAAGTCACGTAATGACACTGCTGTAAGATCAATGTTTAATTAATTTAATTAATTAAGATCATGGGGACGATTACACCGAGACGACAAATGGGCGTGGTTTAAAGTCGGCGTGGTTCGCATATTGTTGGTTTCCCAAATGAAATGCAGAAGCAGAAATGTTAGCAAAAGCAGCAGTGGCAATATTTTAAGTCAAACTCTTTGAACAATTGTCCTAGTATAAGTCAATAATAAGTGAATTTTGTTTGGTTCACTTTCAGTATGTTTTTTGAGAAATACGGTAAATCACAGTCCCTCTATCATAGAGGGACTGTGGGTAAATATTATGCATAAATGCAATGAATGACATTTCGGTAGCAGTTTCAATAGACCACAATAAAAACACATTTAGACATCAAAACGCTTCAAGACATAAAAATGTACCTTGTAAAAACTTTTTTTCACTATTTGTCACTTAAGGTAGCGAGACTATTATTTGTGTTGAAAATTACGATTTTCACATTTATTTATTAATTGATGAAATGCACTACAAACTTTCATGTGATAAAGTCAACATAACATAGAATGTAATGTAAGTTGGTTAAAATGTAGATTTTCTGAAGGGAAGCAAGGCAGCCTCAGTAGTGTTTTCCAAAATCAACAACACAGGTTTAATCTGTGTGCCTATAAGTTTCAAAGATAAACTCAAGACAAAGCAATGTTAGGATGTGTTATCAGTAGCTATCTGACACACAATTAGTGTTTCCAAACATTTGAGTGGTTTGTCTCCGCCCCTATTTGTTTCATGGATTAGTCATTTGCATATGAATGTGTCAGACACAAGGTCACACAGCCACTGAAAAAAAATCATTGATTTTGGTGTTTTCGTATGCCGAATTTATCCAATTATAGCTATCCCACTCCTTTATTTTTTTGGTTTCCAATAGCCTTACACATTTAGATGTCCCTACACATGTTAAAACAGACCTTGATGGGAAAACAAATTGATT